TGCTCATTAGAATTGTTGTATCATTCACATACCCTATTATTCCCATCCCTCCATTCTCCACACCACGATCCACCCCTAAACATTTCCCCACTGCCCTGTAAAAAGGGTCCTGTATACAAGCAAGCAACAGTTGAGACAGAGGACAACCCTGCCTTATGCCTCTACCCATTGAAACCCACTCTCCCAATTTCCCATTCACCTGCACACGTACACCTACCCTATTATACAAAGTCTCAATTCAACGCACCATCTCTTCCCCAAAACCCTGCCTCTGTAAGATATGCCACAGTGCCTCTCGTTCTACGCAATCATACGCTGCCTGCCAATCCAATGCTAAGACACCTCCCCCTCCCTTTATTCTCCCCCTCCATACTTTCCACAAAATCTTTTATTATTCCATGCCCTTCATACATTGTCCTCCCAGGCACCCCATACTGACCTCTCGCAACAACTCTATCACGCACTTCAGCCTGTTCCCCAAGATTTTTGCGAATATCTTCTAATCAGCACATAACAACGACAATGCCCTGTAGTTCTGCACTGTAGTAGGGCCTTCCCCTTTTGGAATCAAAACTACTACTGCGGTACACTGCAACTCACCCATCCTCCCCTCACTTTTCATCACATTCATCAGGTTCACTAAAAAATCCTTCAACACACTCCAATGCTTCATATAGAATTCACAAGGTAACCCATCTATACCTGGCGCTTTACCTCTCGCCATATTCTCCAAAGCTCTCCATACCTCCCCCTCTTCAATATCCCCTCCCAATGCCATACAATCACTTCCACTCAGCACACAAGATACATTCTCTCCCAAACTCTCTAAATCCTCACCGTTCACTCCTACACTCCACAAATATTTTCCAAACCAACTATCCAGAAAACCACTCATACCCTCAGTAGTTCGCAACTCCTGACCCTTCGTATACCCACCTAAGTTCTCGTGTACTACCAGCTTATCAATCTCCATTGCCAACCTGCGTCTCCACTGGCCCTGTAACACACAAGCTGATGGCCTGTCGCCCCAAATCGCCTCCTCTAACCCACCTTGCACCCTTGCCTCATCAAATCTCTCATTGTGCATATCTCTTATCTGCCACTTTAATGCTTCAATTTCCTCCATTGGATACACACCTACCACAGCACCCCTCTCATAACAACCCTGCAACCGCCCCTCTAAATACTGTTGAAGCCCATATGTCATCCATGCCTCATTCTTTCCCCTTCGCACATAATATTGCCTGATCCTCCTCTTCGCAACCCCATCCCATCACCCCAATAAATCGCTTGCGCTCTTACCCCCACCCCATAAGTCCTCCCACAAACTTTCAAAATCCTCTCCCTCCACCCCCTCACCCAGTAGTCGTACATTCAGCTTCCAGTACCCCAAATATCTCTTAGGCAAACCGTCCCAATTTAAATCAACATAAACTGCCCTATGATCTGAATAAACGACATTCACCGTCTGCACCTGCGTCACCCTCACACCCCTTGTCACATACAACCTATCTAGTCGTGCAGCATAGCCCTTTCTATGAAATGTGTGCTCTATCTCGCTATCCCCTCCATCAGCTATATCCCTCAATCCCACACCTCTCAATAGATCCCCTAAACCTGCCAAAAAACACCCTGCCCCCCTCGGTTCCACATCCTTCCTACGCACCACACAGTTCCAGTCGCCACCAACTATTGTCACTGACGGTAATGACCGCAAATAATATACCAATACATTATTCACAAATTCATTCTTTACCCTTACATCATTCTCAGCCGGCACATACACACAAACTACTGCCATCCTCTCACCTCTCCACCACCCATCTATTCTTAACACACGACCCCCCCCCTTCACTCCTAAGAATAACAAACGGGCTCGTCTCTCGGATCAGGATTCCCACCCCTCTCTTCATTCACTCCGAATACATCACAAACACTCTGTACCCATCCACCTCCAATTCCCTTCCCAGCTTGAAATTATGTTCCTGCACAAAAACAATGTCTATAGCATAACGTCTTAAAAATCCCTCTACCCACAGACGCTTCTCACTCGCACACAATCCATCAATATTCACTGTCATGCACCGGAAACCTACTTATGTGATTTCACCCTCTGCCCCATTTCACCTTTCACTGACACGCTTCCAGTGTGTCTGCTTCTTCCACTTTTCTCTCCACTGCTCACTTGTGGCTTACCCTGATCCAACACCGGACCAGGCATACCTTTAGAGCTCCCACGCACCACATCAACTCACGGCTTTTTCCCCGGTCTCTGTGCTGGGGTCAAAACATCATCCGAGTCGGAATATGTCGCCGCCCTCTTACGGTTGACACTCTCTGCATCCATTTCCAACTCACTGGATGCCTCCCTGTGAATCTCAGCATTCACCTCAATCACTTCCACCACTCCTGGCGAGTCATCTGCCATGTTCGCCAATCTTCCAAGTTGCTCATCTTCAATCTGAACAGGACTCCTCACCATCCTCAAGTTATCCTCAGAAACCTTCTTCTCAAAGGATTTTTCCTTCACGTTCACCAGTAGGCCTCCCTCTACCCGCACTTCACCACTCTGCACAGTCTTCCCAGTCTCCAAGGCAGATGCCTCACATCCCACTAACTGTGACAGTGATGGGCTGGTACCCACCAGTGGCAGCTCACGCTCCACTTTCTCACTCCAGGAAGTGCCACTTCTATGTACAGGTGACTCATCAGCATGACCCACCTCCGGTTCTGGCTCTTTCACCATCTCACTACCTAGTTCCTGTCTCCGCTGCCATCTCCCACACTGGGCCGCCTTATGGTCATATGCACCACATAACCTACACGTCTTCTGCTGCCCAGCGCAGTACACCATTACCTGCGTCCTAAATGCGTCCAGTATGACGTAAGACGGGATGGAGTGCCTCGACGGGATGGAATGCCTCAATATCATCTTGAGCGTGAACGTACCATCCGGCAAGCCAGCATACGCCCCATCCGTCCATTTACCAGCCATAGCCAGGTGTACAGTTCCATACTGTTCAAATACATTCCACAGGTCAGTCTCGTCCGCCTCAAATGGCACATTTCGGACTTTCACCCATGTGTAATGCCTAGACACGTCAATGAGTCGAACACGTATCGCTGAATTAACGTCCACACTCCCGTCCTGGTACTTGTCAACCAGCCGTTCATACACTCCAGCTGATCTCAACTTGACGAAAATACGATAGGCACCATTTAGCGCCACACCATACAGTTCTTGATCCGCAACACCATAGGTGTCACGGATAATTTGCGGTAAAAGCACTTGCGCAGACTGAGGCGTTATTGCACCATGCACCAATTCAAGGCACACCGTGTGCACACGCCTTCTCACAGACTGCGCCATGTTGTGAAAATATAAATCTCCTCCAATGGCCAGCAGAGGGCAGTAGTCACACGTCCGCTGCACTCTGCTCAGGTCAAGTGGCCCGGTCCACGACCAGGCCTCCCGGTGGATCAGGGCCTGATCAACCAGGTTGTTGCTGCTGGTCGCACGCAGTCCAACGTACGAGCCACAGCCCGGCTGATCATATGCTGCTATGTAAAATAATTATAACCTATGTAACTGTATTTGTGCATACCTGAATAAATATACTAGCAAAGCTCTCGCTTCACACACGGAGTGCCCGGGTTCGAGTCCCGGCGGGGTGTAAACATTTCGACGTGTATCCTTACACCTATTGTCCTGCTCACCTAGCAGCAAGTAGGTACCTGGGTGTTAGTCGACTGGTGTGGGTGGCACCCTGGGGGACAAGATTGAGGACCACAATGGAAATAAGTTAGACAGTCCTCGATGACGCACTGACTTTCTTGGGTTATCCTGGGTGGCTAACCCTGCGGGGTTAAAAATCCGAACGAAATCTTATCTTACTTAACGTCCCCACGGCCCGGACCGTGACCAGAACTTGATGGACCAAAATTCCCGGCACTCATACTGGCCAGGTTGAAATGGTGTATTACTGAGAGGGATGATTAAAAGACACGAATGGTGATAAGATTAGATTTTGTTGGGATTTTTAACCCGGAGAGTTAGCCACCCAGGATAACCCAAAAAAGTTAGTGCGTCATCTAGGACTGTCTTGTCTTATTTCCATTGTGGTCCTTCAGTCTTGTCCCCCAGGATGCCACCCACACCAGTCGGCTAACACCCAGGTACCTATTTACTTCCTAGGTGAACAGGGACAACAGGTGTAAGGAAACACGCCTAATGCTTCTACCCTTTCTGGGGATCGAACCACGGACACAGTTTGTAAGGCGAGACACCATTGTGCGATGTGCGGAGCTTTTCTAAGACACGCAGAAGTTACAGTTAGTATGTGTATATCAAACCATGGAACTGGTGGGGTTTAAACCCATGACGAGTGGGTGATAAAACGCACAGGCCAGTGCGTTAACCACTAGGCCGGCTGGCTGTAATAAGATTATACTAATAATATAATAATAATAATTAGATTCATTTAACTATGTATGTTTCTATACACCATAGGGAGGTTAACATGGGCCACAACTGCGACCACTAATGGATTTTTTTTTTAGATGAATCTCACACCAATGTGGCTGTGTTGAGCTCTAGCTCAAATCCCCTCAAAGCCGCCATCATGACTAACGAAATCGTAATAACACAATTGTAAATAAATTATTCGACTTTAAATACAAAATAATTAAATGTATCGTAATGTACATTTTACTGATGCAAATGAGAAAAAACTGAACCAGCGAGATAGTAACTAGGAGTGATTAGCCTATAAAATATAGCTTTTACAAATCTGTAATAACTGTAACATATAATATGATAAATTTCTGAATACAGATTACTGTCAATGCACTGTAATAACTGTATTTTGTTGATATAAACGAGAAATAACTGCAACCAGAAGGAGGAGTAATTTGAAACGATTAAGCTATAAAATATACCTTTTACGCATATATAATGACTACAACATATAATATAATAAATATCCAAACATACATTACTCCGATGGCCTATAATAACTCCGTATTTTATGGACATAACTGAAAAAACTTACATAACGAGGAAGTGTATAAGACGCATGCGCAGAGCAGCTCAGTAGCGGCAGCCACCACGCCACACCAGTCGTACTCTCTACCCTGTGAGTATTATATTGGATTTTCTCCTGTTTTTACTTCTTTATATATACATTTGGGGGTGTTGGTTGTTGTATATTGTTCCAGGTATATGGGGGTGTGTGTTTCATGGGGTGTCACTGGATATTTGGGGAAATATGGGGTAAAATATGAGTTGCCGGGGTGTCCTTCAGTGATACGTTACACACTCACTAACTTGTAAGAATGACGAGGCATTAATGTTATCTATTATAAGATCATGTTACTTGAACCTGACATTACTATAACATCTTTTTTTTTTTGCCTTTAAAATTGTATTTTAGGGTATAGAAGGTAGTGAGGACTGGTTGCCATGGTGATGGCAGGAATTCCCATAGTCATTCTGGATAATTCTGGCGTCCTGAAGTTTGAATTTTTTTTTCTTTTCCTGAGGGGGGGGGGGAAGCCCTTATTTTGGAAAAGGGCTCCTGATCCTGGGGATTAAAGCCATCCTCTTCCTCGAATCAAACCAGGCTTCCTGATTTCCCTAAATGGTGCTTCATCCTTACGGGTTTAGTGCTTCAGGTTAAAATATATAAATTCATGCATACATAATACACAAGTATTTTATTTGGAAATTATAATTAATTGTAAACCCTCTTAACTACTTGACTTAATTATGTAGCTTAAAAATGAATGTAATTATAAGTGTTAAGTGTAGACACAGATATACATAAGTACAGTTAATAAGTTTATTCATATATACACAGTTACATAGAATATCAATGGAAATAAAAAGGACCCCAGTGGAAATAAGTCACTGAGTTTCTTGCGTTATTCCAGGTTCTCTGTAATCCTACGGGTTTAGCGCTTCCCCTTGATTATAATAATACATATACTGCTGCTGTATAACCCTTGTGGTTTAGCGCTTTTTTTATTATAATAATAATGCATATGCTGCTATGTATGGTAACCTATAACTGTATTTGTGTATATCTGAATAAACTTGCTAACCCAGGTTAACCCCCAAAAAAATCAATGATTTATTTTCATTGGGGTCCCTGTGATAATTGTTTATATTTAAAAGTTTAAAATGGGTAAGAATATTAACTATGTAAAAGTAATTAGTATAAAAGAAGATATACTAGGAGAGGTAAAATTAGTTATTTTCACTTAAGAAATCACTCCTTCATTTCTGTAGCCTTATTCATGAGGTACATTTTGGCTCTTGAAGTGGCTCATGTTATGACAGGTTAACTTACCCAAGATAACCCAAAAATCAGTTACTTGTTTCCATTGGGGTCCTTGTAATATTAAACCTTAAAACCTTAAGGACCCTCGATGAAAGTCACTTGACTTTTTGGTTTTCCTGGAAGGTAATTTACATACTGTTACTATGTATGGTAATTTGTGTAACTACAGGTGCACAAATACAATCACTACATACAGTAACATGTGTAAATTACCTAGGATAACCCCAGAAAATGTGAAGTAAAGTAACTTAGGGGTAACGGGAGGTTGTACCTTAGTCTTCCATCCACTTAAAGGCCACACCCAGTGCTGCTTAACCTGGTGCAAGCACTACATGACCACTAGTCAAATCCTCCTGTCCCTGGCCAGTAATGTAGTGTATTATGGACTCCAGTAGTAATTGATTTTTTAAATTCTATTGTAAATCTACATGTATGGTCAAAGTATTTTTTTTAATCTTGTAAAAAGGACACTGAATTGGAGGTATGTTTAGTACCTTTACTAAACTTTTTTTTGTATTAACCGACCTAAAGTTAACCATCCTAACAGTTTACAGCTGGTCCAGGTTGGGTTAAGTCATACCCAAAGGAAATGTCACTTTAATTTTTTTGCGTTATCCTAGTTAATTTACGTTCCCATGTGTGATTTTACTTGTATACCTGTACCTGAATAAACTTGCTAAACATTTTTAAAGTCATTCCTATTGCACAACCCACTAAGCAAAGAATTTCCTTACAGGATTCTCTAATTTTGCCTATTATGTAAAAAAAATTCAACAAAACTATTCCTGCAAAATATAATTTTCTTTTCTGCAGTATACAAAATGTATTTTGTGACTATTAAGCACAAAAAGCCACTAGCATGCAGTCTAGAGGTCATAAGTTATGAATATGGGGTACAGTGTGTAGATTTAGCCTAGGACTACCCAGTCAACCAAAGTATTCCCAGTGCAGGTTTTGCTGCATTTTTTCATGCACATTTTATGGGCTACAAAAGGTAAATTCCAACTTAATTAGGAAATTACATTTCCACTTAAGTTTTGTAAAACTTAAAATTAGCTGTCAAAATATCAAACTTTATTTTTTTTCTGCTGTTATCTAATAACTGTAATTGTCTAAATTAGACATAATAGTATTAGGTAAGCTATAGTGTAAATGGCTGTGGTTATTTTACAGGGAGCTGTTTGGATTTCAGTGTCAGCCATTTAAGTGGCTTGTGTAATAACAATGGAGGGTAAGGTTGCATGGTTTGTAATTAGCATGGCTAATTTTTTTCAGTTAATGTTGACATTGTGTGAATATAATGTAAGAAAGGTAAAAATGGGTTTGTCCAGTGGCACCAGAAACTACATGGGTACAAAATTTACTTGAGAAATCTTAACATGATTGTAAACTAGGGAACGGGTGGGGCTTTCACCCACAGCAAGCGAATCCTAAGACTCGCAGACAGTGCGATAACCATTGGACCAGCTGGTTCTTAAGATTCGTGCAACTAGGTATTCCCATACACCATAGGGAGGTTAGCATTGGCCCCCCACTTAAGACCCAACTGGCTAAGCGGTTAACACACCGGCCTGAGTTTCAGGAGACACTTACCAGGGGATCAAATCCCACCCATTCCCAGATTTAAAATTCTCAGGTTGACCCCAGATGGTTAGCCACTAAGCAGTGACTTCCATTGAGCCTATCTATTGCTTTGTGCTTGTCAGAATGGCTCGTGTCATTTTTGTAATTTTTTGTAAGTTTTTTTTTTTTTTTTTTTTTTCACAGCAGATAATCTTAGATGCTCAGGAATGTGTTCTTTACTAGTGCTCTATAAATTTATTTAACTTGTGTATTTGTTAGTCTTAAGAACAACTTGTCCAGACTAATAAAATAATGCTTCATAGTCACTATTCACCAGTTTCACTCATTCATATCTAACCCACTTTTTTTTTTTTAAACATGTACATGTATTATACTGTGATGGCACTAACCTATATTAATGATCATAGTAAATTTGCTGTTGTAACAATGAAGTGTACAGACATACCTTGCTAATACAGTAAGTTCGATTAGACTGCTGCCGTAAAGTAATGTCTCCTTAAAGTGAATCGGCATTTTTTTCAATTGCCAGTGCATATAAAAGCCTAAAAATGTGTTAACACTATCATTAAGTGTGCAGTAGCTGATGTTAGTCACCGCCAAAAATAAACCTGAATATAATTGAAAGTGCTGTATTAAGAAAGCGCTGTAAAGCAAAATTCCGTATTTGAGAGGTAAGCGTGTATTAGTATCGGGTACAGTAGTGATGTATTTTGATGGCTTGCATAGCCAGATGTAAATTTTAATACATATGTATCAGTGTTAAAAATAAGCCAGGGTCTAGTAATAATTTTTTCCTCGTCCTTGAATGCTTGTGGTCAGTTCTGCTGACGTGTAAATAATTTGCCTCAAATTCTCAATGAGCAGTTGAGTATTTTAGGATAATTTTTAATGCTGCTGCATTTATATGGTTTGTAGGCAACTCCAAAATGGCTGACTTGAAGGATGCTTACATTGCTGCTCTGGAAAAGAAGCTGGCAGAGCTCTCTGGGATTGAAGTGGATCAAATAAAGAAAAACCAGGTAATCTATACAAAGTAAATATTTTTAACAGTTTAAAATTGTGGGTCTTTGGAAGGTGTCAGAGGTTAATCTTGTAGGTAGTGGATGGAGACCCCAAAGTGTCAAACCTTGGCTAATTTCTTGTAGCATGATTTGGTCCATGCTGTATGGATGAAGGTCTGGAGTTGGTGTGATACTGTCTTTGCTGTGATAGTGGCTAGTTCCTATCCATGCACACTAGGATGTGCTCTGTTGGTGCCCAGGCCATGGTGGTGTCCTGAGAAATGGATGCAGTGAGGCCCTTCTACAATAGGCTTTTGCTAGAGACTTGAAGGGTTATAAATATGCATCCTTGGGAAGTAGTGGGTCTGACAGATTTGCAGCACAGATAAGTTTTGGGCCTTTCTCTAACAGGGAGTCCTTTAAAAGTTAATGTATTGATGACTGGTGGGGGGGTGGGATGCACACCTTGCTTGTAGCTACACGTTTGTAATTTTCTTCTACTCTTACTCTATCTCCCTGTATAGCTTGTATACCACTGACTGGTAAAAGTTTAAAGTTTTTCATGTGATTTGTGGCAGGTTTTTTTTTTTTTCTTATTTAGTACTTGCAAGTGCTTAGTTTCATTTGTTTGTATCTAGTTTATGGGTTTTTGTTCACTGCTCTGACACGTGATTTGCTGTCACTCAAACTATCAGTGCTACTTCCACATAAATGTGTACTAAAATTGATTCCTACAGTACTAGGAGCAAGTTTAGTATTTAGTAACTTCAGTGTTTTTTTAGAAATGAAACATTGGCCAAAAGGCTTTCATAGATATTACTATATATCAAAGAATGTAGTGGAGGCAGTGATATAGACCTTGCAAGAATTCCAGGAACTAATGTTGGTATCTGGCATGCAGGAATGCCTGCACTCTTCAGGAGTAGTACACAAATAACCCGCACATAGAAGAGAGGAGCTTACGACGACCTTTTGGTCCTCCCTCTACAGATGTTCCTGGTGTCTACTCTATTTCTTGCTCCTCCTGTCCTCTTCAATACTTTGGAGAAACTGGTCGATCTCTTTCTGACAGACTTAAGGAGCACAAAAATAGTGTTAGGCTTGCCGACATTAACAATGCTCTGTTCTGTCACGTCAGAGATCACAGCCATCCTATTGACTGGTCTTCCGCTAAAACTGTCTTCCCCACTTCCAACTCGTCGCCGTCTAGTTGAATCCTCTCTAATACACAACTTTCCTTGTATGAATCTTAGTCCTGGCTTCGTCTCTGTAGATGCCTTCCTCTCCCACTACAATGTAAAATGTTCCAAACTTCAGAACACCTGTGACTTAACCTGATTCCTCATTTTTTTTTCTTTTCCCTCTGCCCCTTTCCTCTTTCCTTTTTTTGTCTTCCTTTCTTCTGTCGCATGTTTGTTCCTTCATTTTTTATTTCATCACTTCCCCTTCCCCCCACCTCTGTGCACTTGCTCTCCCTCTGTGGGCACCTAGCTCCCTTGCAGTGCTCCCCTTTCTTTGTATTTGACTGGCTCCTCCTCAATTCCCCACTACTACTACTACTACTACTACTACTACCACCACTACTTCTTCCTGCCTATATATAGCCGTCCTGCTACACTTCTGGTTAGTGTGACTTTGTAAATGGTCCAAGTTGGACCGAAACATCGTCGTAAGCTCCTCTCTTCTATGTGCGGGTTGTTTGTGTATCGTTCCAGTCATGGTATTGTGCTTTTTTTTGTTATTTACCTCAGGAGTAGGTTTGAGAGGCTCAGCCGATTAACTTTTACAAATGTCTGAGCTTGTGAAAAGGCGGCTAATGTTTCATGGGTGGTGGTTTTAGGAAAAGGTTACAATGTAGAGCTAGCTGCTAGCCAGACTTACTTGGTCATTCTGTAATTTCCTTTAAAGAGGCATGCTTGAATGCATTGCAAAAAGTTGCATAGCATATAACCAGTCAAGTTGCTGATGTCTGGTATGTCATATTTTTTAAAAACAAAAAGGCACAGTTTTAGGACTGGTAGAATGCATAAATAACCTGCGCAGAAGACACCTATGATGTTTAGGTACGACATTGACCCTTAGTATGTGACTACTTAATGGTCCATGTCAGACTGAAATGCCATCTTAGGTATTTCTGTGTGGGTTGTGAAATGCCGTCTTTTTTTTCCCTCTCTGAAGTGGAATGTCCCTCTTAGCTTTTTTTATGATGTATCCTGATACTTGGATATAGCAAGTTACCACCTGATCCTGATCAGATTACTGAATTTCTACTGTGATTTCAGCTTGCCAATGCTGCAGATGAGGCAAGAGCCATCAGTGAGATGGCAGAGTATGTGGCCAGCATTCAGGTCGAGCAAGCAGGTGTAGCCCAGGCCGGAGTGGTCAACCCACAGATTGCTGCAGTTTATTCCCACATCACAGCTGAACTTGGTAAGTAGTACTTAGTCACTTCGGACTCGTACACATCTTAGAGCTCATGATTGTAATCATACTGTCACTCTTGAATATTAAGAATAGTATTTCATCATTGTTGGTGTGAGTGCTTGCCATTTTTTTGTAAGAACAGGTGCTCATGAATAGTTTCCAAATATATGAAAAGTTATGAATAGCACCATGTTAGTCATGTACTTGGAATAAATGTTCTTGTGTAGGTGTTTCAGCAGTCTTGTTTGCATTATTGTTCAGCATTCTGAGATTTGGTGAGCAATGTAAATTGTATGTTTGATAGATTTATTAACCCTTTGACTGTCGCAACCCCCAATCCTGGTGTCTCCTGGTGTCGCAAAATTTAAAAAAAAAAAAATTATTTTTTCTTATGAAATGATAGAGAATCTTTTCCCGATTGTAATGACACCAAAAAAACGAAATTTGATGGAAAACTGACGGAATTACGCTTTCGCGAAGTTAGCGACCTCGGTGCTGTTTACAAATCGGCGATTTTGCCCACTTTGAGCCCTATTTTTGGCTAATTCCATTGTTCCAGTCAACCAAACTCGTAGCTATTTCTTTAGAACTCCATTTTTTCTATCGATTGAGTACAAGAAACTGCCCATTTACCGATTTCAACTACCTAATAATGTGGTCAGAAATTTGCAATTTGGCCAATTTCACGAAAACTAAAAAATGACAATTTCAAAATAAGGTCCAGAATGAACAATGCAGACATTCCTGGCTCTAAAATAACATTTTCTTTGTTCATCAGTCATGTCTCCAGGCCCCTCTGATATTACTCTTGCTTTCTATTTTGAATTTTTATTCAAACAAAAAATTGAAGACTTACTATTATGCAGACTACTGCAATACTGTAATAATTGTATAAATAACATCAACCCATTCCTGACTGCATATTAGAATGGCTAGTTGGACATTTATTGGACAATGGCATCATTTGTTTACTTTTGAACATTGGCAAAAATCAAACATTTCCCCTACTTTGAGCTCCATTTCTAGGTTCTTTTTATAGTAAAATCAATCAAAATCACCTCTATTTCTATAATATGTTTTCCATTCTATCAAATGAGACCAAGAAAACGAGAATACAACCATAAATACTATACGAAAATAGACCACAATGTCGGCATTTTAATTAAAAAAAACGGTCGGAGTTTTTTTTTTTTCCCCATTATGCCCTGCATGCTCCAGGATTTTTCTTATATGGTGCACACTGACCACACAGACCCATTCTCTCACATGTGGGCCTACCAGCTTTCTCCTGCTTGATTTGAAGCCGCTAGAATTTAGGAGTATATATACGTCAAACACGGTACCTCGTAAGACGTACATATAAGGCCGCGACAGTCAAAGGGTTAAGGTTAATTTTGGATCAAAAGGTGGATTTTAGTATTGTAAATGCCTTCACTGTAGAGATGGTTTAATGTAAATTTATGGTTAACTGTATAGAGGTAGAGCAAATACAGTAGTCCCCCATATCTGAAGGTGATGCATTCAAAGACCTACCACAGATACTAGTGAATCCTATACATGTCATTTTTTGTTTACATACCTGTGAAGTTTAATTGATAAATTATGCTGAGTAAAACATTACCAGCATTAAATAATAAAATATATAGTACATTATTATACTTCACACATGGAAGATTCTCTTGCCATACATCTTAGCAACCTCAGCATATATTTTCTTGTCTAGTCTGGAATTAGCAGTATCGCTGATTGTAAGCATTTCACGGCTTCTCTTAGGCTTTGAAGAACTGCCAGCATTGCTACTTCTGTGCTTTGGGCCCATTAAGAAGCAAAATTAAGGGTTATTTTTGAGCCATGGTAAACATGAATAACTGCAGAAACCGGCTAAGGGGGTTCTACTATACTTGTAATTTGTACTTTGGATGTGTTGTAATTTTCACGTGGTAGGTTTTTCAGGTCTTGCAATTTTGAGGTTCAGTAGCTTATCCAACTAGTAGTTTTTTTTTTTTTTTTTTTTTTTCAACAAGTCGGCCGTCTCCCACCGAGGCAGGGTGACCCAAAAAAGAAAGAAAATCCCCAAAAAGAAAATACTTTCATCATCATTCAACACTTTCACCACACTCGCACATTATCACTGTTTTTGCAGAGGTGCTCAGAATACAACAGTCTAGAAGCATAAACATATAAAGATACACAACATATCCCTCCAAACTGCCAATATCCCAAACCCCTCCTTTAAAGTGCAGGCATTGTACTTCCCATTTCCAGGACTCAAGTCCGACTATATGAAAATAACCGGTTTCCCTGAATCCCTTCACTAAATATTACCCTGCTCACACTCCAACAGATCGTCAGGTCCCAAGTACCATTCGTCTCCATTCACTCCTATCTAACACGCTCACGCACGCTTGCTGGAAGTCCAAGCCCCTTACCCACAAAACCTCCTTTACCCCCTCTCTCCAACCCTTTCGAGGACGACCCCTACCCCGCCTTCCTTCCCCTATAGATTTATATGCTTTCCATGTCATTCTACTGTGATCCATTCTCTCTAAATGACCAAACCACCTCAACAACCCCTCTTCTGCCCTCTGACTAATACTTTTATTAACTCCACACCTTCTCCTAATTTCCACACTCCGAATTTTCTGCATAATATTTACACCACACATTGCCCTTAAACAGGACATCTCCGCTGCCTCCAACCGTCTCCTCGCTGCTGCATTTACCACCCAAGCTTCACACCCATATAAGAGTGTTGGTACTACTATACTTTCATACATTCCCTTCTTTGCCTCCATAGATAACGTTTTTTGACTCCACATATACCTCAACGCACCACTCACCTTTTTTCCCTCATCAATTCTATGATTAACCTCATCCTTCATAAATCCATCCGCCGACACGTCAACTCCCAAGTATCTGAAAACATTCACTTCTTCCATACTCCTCCTCCCCAATTTGATATCCAATTTTTCTTTATCTAAATCATTTGACACCCTCATCACCTTACTCTTTTCTATGTTCACTTTCAACTTTCTACCTTTACACACATTCCCAAACTCATCCACTAACCTTTGCAATTTTTCTTTAGAATCTCCCATAAGCACAGTATCATCAGCAAAAAGTAACTGTGTCAATTCCCATTTTGAATTTGATTCCCCATAATTTAATCCCACCCCTCTCCCAAACACCCTAGCATTTACTTCCTTTACAACCCCATCTATAAATATATTAAACAACCATGGTGACATTACACATCCCTGTCTAAGACCTACTTTTACCGGGAAGTAGTCTCCCTCTCTTCTACACACCCTAACCTGAGCCTCACTATCCTCATAAAAACTCTTTACAGCATTTAATAACTTACCACCTATTCCATATACTTGCAACATCTGCCACATTGCTCCTCTATCCACTCTATCATATGCCTTTTCTAAATCCATAAATGCAATAAAAACTTCCCTATCTTTATCTAAATACTGTTCACATATATGCTTCAATGTAAACACCTGATCTACACATCCCCTACCCACTCTAAAACCTCCTTGCTCATCCGCAATTCTACATTCTGTCTTACCTCTAATTCTTTCAATTATAACCCTACCGTACACTTTTCCTGGTATACTCATTAAGCTTATTCCTCTATAATTTTTACAGTCTCTTTTGTCCCCTTTCCCTTTATATAAAGGGACTATACATGCTCTCTGCCAATCCCTAGGTACCTTCCCCTCTTTCATACATTTATTAAACAAAAGTACCAACCACTCCAACACTATATCCCCCCCTGCTTTTAACATTTCTGTCATGATCCCATCAGTTCCAGCTGCTTTACCCCCTTTCATTTTACGTAATGCCTCACGTACCTCCCCCACACTTACATTCTGCTCTTCTTCACTCCTAAAAGATGGTATACCTCCCTGACCAGTGCATGAAATTACTGCCTCTGTTTCTTCCTTAACATTTAAAAGTTCCTCAAAATATTCTCGCCATCTACCCAATACCTCCATCTCCCCATCTACTAACTCCCCTACTCTGTTTTTAACTGACAAATCCATATTTTCCCTAGGCTTTCTTAACTTGTTTAACTCACTCCAAAATTTTTTCTTATTTTCATTAAAATTTCTTGACAGTGCCTCTCCCACTCTATCATCTGCTCTCCTTTTGCACTCTCTCACCACTCTCTTTACCTTTCTTTTACTCTCCATATACTCTGCTCTTCTTATAACACTTCTGCTTTGTAAAAACCTCTCATAAGCTACCTTTTTCTCTTTTATCACACCCTTTACTTCATCATTCCACCAATCACTCCTCTTTCCTCCTGCCCCCACCCTCCTATAACCACAAACTTCTGCCCCACATTCTAATACTGCATTTTTAAAACTATTCCAACCCTCTTCAACCCCCCCACTACTCATCTTTGCACTAGCCCACCTTTCTGCCAATAGTTGCTTATATCTCACCCGAACTTCCTCCTCCCTTAGTTTATACACTTTCACCTCCCTCTTACTTGTTGTTGCCACCTTCCTCTTTTCCCATCTACCTCTTACTCTAACTGTAGCTACAACTAAATAATGATCCGATATATCAGTTGCCCCTCTATAAACATGTACATCCTGGAGCCTACCCATCAACCTTTTATCCACCAATACATAATCTAATAAACTACTTTCATTACGTGCTACATCATACCTTGTATATTTATTTATCCTCTTTTTCATAAAATATGTATTACTTATTACCAAATTTCTTTCTACACATAGCTCAATTAAAGGCTCCCCATTTACATTTACCCCTGGCACCCCAAATTTACCTACTACTCCCTCCATAACATTTTTACCCACTTTAGCATTAAAATCCCCAACCACCATTACTCTCACACTTGATTCAAAACTCCCCACGCATTCACTCAACATTTCCCAAAATCTCTCTCTCTCCTCTACACTTCTCTCTTCTCCAGGTGCATACACGCTTATTATAACCCACTTTTCACATCCAATCTTTATTTTACTCCACATAATCCTTGAATTAATACATTTATAGTCCCTCTTTTCCTGCCATAGCTTATCCTTCAACATTATTGCTACTCCTTCTTTAGCTCTAACTCTATTTGAAACCCCTGACCTAATCCCATTTATTCCTCTCCACTGAAACTCTCCCACCCCCTTCAGCTTTGTTTCACTTAAAGCCAGGACATCCAGCTTCTTCTCATTCATAACATCCACAATCATCTCTTTCTTATCTAGTAGTTATGGTATGTAAAAAATTTTTAGTTGCCCATTCTTTGCAACTAAGTCAAGGTTGAAGTTACAAGGGTTATTTGCAGGACTTTCTAGCAATAATTTGGGAATTTGTTTTAGAAATATTAGTGTCCAAAACATTGGAAAGCAGTTGTACAATGAAACTAGTTGTAATGTTAATTGTTGGTGTTTGTTGTGGGTAATGTTTGATAAGAATAAGGTGTTGTAATTTTTAGTTTGAAAACTGAGGTGGTAGTGTCAGAATTTGACCCTGCATGTAGATTTTTTATAAAATGCTATAGATTGTGAAGGGATTTCAGAGAAACTGATAAGTCCTGGAGGTAGGAAATAGTGCTTGCACTCTAAAGGAGTGGTTTAGGATGTATGCTGTTTGGAGAGTTTGTCACTGCCTCAGTAGGAGATGCCAGTGTTAAAAAAAAAAAAAAAAAGTGTAGATTAAGCATGGTTGCTGTATAAAAGCTTACACTTCGTTAAATTTTGGGTTAAGTGAATTGTATTACAATTGTGGGGAGGGGTGTGTGCTATACCTTTGAGCTAAGTTTTTTTTCTGCTGAAGCCAGACTTGTCTGGTCAACCAGGCTGCTGGCCCATTTATCAATCACAGCATGGTTGATCTGGCACATTATTTAAAATTAGATAAAATGGGAATGTGCTGGCCAGTGAACTTGTTAATTTTACACATTTCGTAATTTAGCATGCAGGTTTTTGACATGTTGCAGGTGAGGAAAGAGGTGCTCATGTTTTGCCCCCAATGAAATATGATTATGCAGCACTGGAGCCCCATATATCTGCAATGATAATGGAGATCCACCACACAAAGCACCACCAAGGCTACATCACAAACCTCAAGGCTTGTACTGAGAAAGTAAGTTGGATTTTATTTTCCCCTTTAACTGGCTGGATAGGTGATGGTAGAAATGTTGACAGTGGTAGATGTAGGTATTGCAAATTCTTTTGCTCAGTGAGCTTGTCACTTGACTGGCTTGTCTCCTGAAGCTGGTTTTCTGGGCTCTGAATACTGTTTTCTAACAACTATAGTAGGTATTTTGCCTTTTAAGATTTTTTTGTATTACTAATAATACAGAAACTAAGGTTAAGACTGTCCTTAGCTTTTGGCTTTCAAAGCCACTGAAAGTGGCTCCTAAAATAAGTATATATTTGTTGCCGAGTTGTGGCCCATTGTTACCATTGCCAGGGGTTTAACCATACTGTTGTAAAATATTCTTGCAAGGATAGTTTTTTGTTTGTGGTTTCAGGTAGGAATTTACAAATTGTTACCTAAATTGCAGCTTTAGAGATCTCTAAGGTAATGGTACCATTTGGTCATATTATTCTGCTCCATCCTCTTAATGGTAGAACTGCCTCTACCATTCCTCAGCCATCTAATTTCAAAATGCTCTGAATAGTAATCATGACAGTCCTTGCTCTGCAACATGTCTAAAACTATGGCAGTATTGAGGCCATTCCTTACACTTTTCTTAGTACCACTATTGTTTTGGCACATTCATTTCTAGATATAATTTTTCTTTCCAGGTGCCTCATCACCTACATGCTGAAAACTTTCAGTTGCTTTAAAGAAAACAAAACGGCTTTGAGAACATATCTGAAGTAAATAGGGTGTTTGACTTGAGGTTAAAATTGTACAATGATGTAGATAAATTAAGTGGTTATTTTAGGGATGGATTTGGTTTAATCCTAACGGCTTTCAAGAAAATAAATGCTTGAATGCTATAAGTTATGTGGCAGTGTTGACTAGTAACAATCGTTTAAATTGATGAACCTCTGTTGACATTCATCATTTTCTTTTTGCTTAACACTTTCAAGGTCCAGAGGCCAAATTTCCAAGTGTGCACCAGGGTCCAAGAATTTTCAAAATATAATTTGATTTTTTCTTACGAAATGGTAGAGAATCTTTTTCTGAAGGTAATAAAACAAAGTATGAAATTTGATGGAAAATTGACGAAATTATGCTCTTGCAAATTTTGATGTCGGCAATATTTAGGCATCGGTGATTTTGCCAACTTTGACTTCCATTTTAGGCCAATTACAGTATTCCAGTCAACCAAATTCTTAGCTATTTCACTAGTATTACTTCTATTCTATTGATTGAGCGCAAGAAATTGCAAAGTCAACTGTTTCAACATCAAAATAGTGACCGGAAAATTGATAATTTAGCCAATTTAATGCAAAGTTCAAAATATTCCAGCTTCAAACCTCTTCAAGGGGGGCTCCTTGGCATGGTGAAGAGGCTCTTGGTCTGAGGAATTAGACCTATCGGTCTTCTTCCTCAGACCGAACCTAATTACCCCCCAATCTCCCCTCCCCTATCCCATCCTCCCCTTTTTCCTTTCCTCCTCCTCCTCCCCACCCCTCCCTTTTGCCCTTCCTCTTTTTGTCCTTTGGGATTTCTCCCACAGGCGCGCTAGTTCCTAGGTAGGGGAAAGGATACCGGGGTCCATCCCATTCCGTTGAGGTTCTTAGCGGTGGAGTAGTTTGCCGTGAATCTGGATCGCTGGGGATGTCCCGATCCCTCTCCGGTAATCCCGGAGTAGCTTTGGGTGTCTTTCGGGCGAGAGTGTATCTTGGAAAAGCACCTTTCGGATTCCGGGGGTGGTGCCGAAGGAGGTATGCTTTGTGGCGATATCGGCCCGCCCTCTCTTTTGTTCCACCGAGGAGCTGCCCAGATGGAGGTTTTTGCTATCCGGTATTGTTAGTGTACTTGCATGAATGGGAGGGTATGGCAAGGGTTCCATGCTGCATCTTGCGCTACTTTCGGTGCTGAGGTCCTCTTGGGCGCGGAGGGAGATTTCTGGCCCTTTCATCCCTAATAGTAAACTTCCTCCCGGTCCCCCCTTTTTTTATTCGTTTTTTCTATTTTTATTTTCTTTTCTTCTTTCTTTTTTTTTTCTTAAAAAACAAAAAGTCAAGATGTAAACCTTAACCATGGCAGCCCTAGTCCAGGAAACCTGGGACCCCCGGGCCCTTTCTTGATACCGCACAGTTCTGTTCCGCCTCGTCTTTGGACCACTCTTCAGACATTCCTCATGCCTTCGGTACCTTTGCCGGTGTGCTGGTTTCCTCACCGCGTCGGTTTCTGAGGCCTCGACTGACTCCTTCGATTTATCGGACCTTCGCTCTCATTGACTATGCTTCCGGCCTCTCCCTCTACGGTTGCGGCAATTTTCTAATCGCCGAACCCATTCACGTCGGACCAACTCTGGTCACGCCAAAACGCCAACGAACAATTAATGCTGATGTTATTCTCACTTCTCGTTTCTTCTCAGAAAAACTGATCGAAGTCCTTCTCTACTTTCATGCTCATTTCAGACTGAACAATGGACTATTCTTCACTTTCGACCAACTTCCTGCTAATGCCTATCTTCTGACCATAGTATGGCAAGGCACTCCTAGGCATGTTGGTTAAAAGATATTTTCTTTTCATGCTCTTAGAGCGGTAGCGCATCATTACCGTACAGAATTCTCCCAGGCTCATGAGCTCTCTCATCTTTCCCATATCGATACTGTTCCTGTCACTCTTGACAAACACATATTCCCTCAATTCTTGTAGTGGTACCTGTCATTCTGCCCCATACCATAGTTCAAACAAAATTTCCAGGACATGTAGGCACTGACAGTCTAGAACTGCTGCGGAACTCCAAGATCTCCAATCCTCCAAGGTAGACACATTTCGTTTCTTCCTGCGTGGGGGAGGCGTACCCTGCAATGTGGCTCGTTTAACTTTTTGACAGCGAGAATATCAATCTCAGTTTATATAGCAGGACGCGGTTACAAGTTTGAAAGGTGATCCCTACACCACAACAGTAGAAATTGGTGGCGATTTGGCCATCCACGAAAATATTGCCAGATCTATCGCCGAATGCCCAGTCTGTGGTGCCGCTGACCTTCTAATACGTCTTGCAATCGGATCTCATCTTGCCTTATCTGTCATGAGGCTCATCCATCGTACTCTCGACCGTTGTCAGGTCTATTTAAACGATCGGGAATCCGTTACCTCAAAGTAGACAGATAGGTCTCCCTTATGCCTTGGCAGATTTCATCTCCCGCCTCCAGGGAGACTCCCACGTGTTTCTTATGCCCGTTGTTTTCAAAACGTCCCTCTCCCCCACGTTAGTTCCCATCTTCTACCACCCACCTCTGTGGTTACTCTCCCAATTCACTCCTGTATCTAATCCTTTTGCTGTCCTCGGCTCAGACGTTCCCTACGTCAACGCCTCAGTCTATCTCGCTTCTTCGAGTTCTTCTCTCTAGCCTCGGTATCAACGAGACCTGGTACGACACCTCCTCCCAATGTCCCTCTACTTCTCAAAAGTCAATAAAAGGTCCGGTAAACTCCTACCCATCTTCCACTCCTCATTTTTACCCTCCCTGTCTCTGTCCTAGTTCTTCCCCCTTCACTGGCTCAGTTACAAGTGGCAGATGGATTCACCCTCCTCCTCGTTAATGTAGCCTTCCTTCACTGTTCCCTACCAAGTTTCTTCCTCTTCTGCCACCTCCAGGTTCCAGCCTCTTCTGCCCCCCGCCACGCTTCTCAGTTCCCACCACCTTTCGCCCCCCCCTACCTTGGTTACAGTTCAATACAGTTCCATCCTTTACTCATCCTCCCCCTACCATGCCAATATTGTCTCCCATCACGGACATCTCTGAATTCCGATATCACTTGAAGCAATCTCTGAATATATTGCAGAAGGACCAAACCATCAATTGGACACTGATCCACCCTTCCGCTCTTTCTCTCTCCTCTGCTCCATCTGTGCAACTCCTTTCTTCCACAGCGCACCGTTCCTTCGCTGCTTGAAATTTTCCACTGCCTCCGCATGTGGACTTTTCTAACCCTTCTAGTCCGTAGGAACCCTTACCTGCGGATTTCAAGTATCTTTATCATTGCCAATCATGGCCTTTTTACAGTGGAATATACGCGGCCTCAGGGGTAATCGGGGTGAGCTTCAGATGTTACTCTCCCAGTTTGCCCCTGTTGGTGTTTGCTTACAGGAACCAAAATTACACTCTGCTGTTATTTCTCACATCTCAGGCTATAATTTATTGTATTCTTCAGATCCTTTTCCTGATGGGACCTTTAATGAAAGTGCCCTTCTTCTCCGCACTGATATTCCGTACCATCAGCTATTTGTTCATACTTCGCTGCATTACACAGCAGCCCGTATCCACTTACATAGGTGGTATACGCTCTGTTCTTTATATCTCTCTCCTTCTCGGGCATTATCTATTCCGGATTTTGCCTTCCTTGTTTCGTCATTACCGCCACCGATTCTGTTACTTGGTGATTTTAATGCCCACCATTTCCTCTGGGGGGGTCTCACTGTGATTCCCGTGGAATTCAGTTAGAGGCTTTTCTTGCCACCCACCCCCTCCATGTTTTAAATACAGGTACTCACACCCATTTTGATCCTCGGACTCATACTCTCTCTTGCATCGATCTCTCAGTTTGCTCTTCCTCCGCCGCATTAGACTTTACTTGGTCTGTTCTCCCGGACTTACATGACAGTGATCATTTCCCAATCATTCTTACTTCCCCTTCATATTCGCCACCTCTTCGCACCCCACGCTGGCAATTTAATCGGGCAAATTGGAACCTTTACTCACACCTAACTGTTTTTAAAGAGGTTCCTTCTTTCGTCCTCCATCGATGAGCTTTTACAACTCTTCTTCGTCCTCCGTTTTCACGCAGCTTAATCATTCTATACCCCAAAACTATCGGGCAGCATTTCTCGAAATGCGTGCCTTGTTGGTCTGCTTGTGCTCGTGCAGGCGTTTGAAACGCGCTGCATGGGGGCAGGTACGGTTCAATAGAAACACAGAGGAACTCCTTGATTTTAATCAGAAGCGTGCGATCGCTCGCCGTGGCATCCGTGACCGCTCTAAACGCATTGCTGGCGAGATTGTCTCCTCCATCACCTCTGTGAGTGCACGTCTGAAAAAAGTACGAAACTGAGTGGTAAATATTCTCCGACCCGGCTCCTGTTTCGTGCGGGTTGGCCGGTGTTGATATAGCAAACCCACTTGATGTTGCAATGTAATGGCAATAATCTGGTCGTTTTTCTCAGGGACTCATCTATGCCCCTCATTTCTTTCCTCAAAAGTCTGCCGTGAGAGTTAGCACCACTTGGACTTTGCTTCTCTCAGTGAGAAACAGTTATGTGCCTGTTACACTTCAAACTGGAGGCAACACTCTCAGCTGTGTCGACATCGGCAGCTGGGCCCGTCGACATTCATATTCGTATGCTACAACATTTACATCAGTCAGCCCTTGCAGTCCTATACGCCTTTACATTCTTATTTGGTCACAAGGAGTTCTTCCACAGCTGTGGAAATCCGCCATTGTTCTCCTTTCGCAAACCAGGCACTACGGGACATGAACCTCCCACATATCGTCCCTTGCTCTTACCTGTTGCAGTTTGACAAAGTACTGGGAGCTAGTAAAATTGACGTTTCGTGTGGTATTTAGAGACAGCAACAGTCTCTCCACTCGTCAATATGGCTTTCGTAAGGACGTTCTACCATTAGACCCCTTACTACGTTGGATACGTATGTTGGAAAGCCTTTGCGAAATAACCACTCAGTTTTGCCATATTTTTGATTGTGAAGGCCTATGGACACAATTGGAGGATAATATTTTAGCCATGCCCACTCCTTAGGCCTTCGAGGCTATCTACCATCTTCCTTAGAACTTTTTAACTGACCAGGCATTCCTGTGTTCGGGTTAATATGTGTCTCCTGGACTTTATCAAGCTGAGGTGTCCCCGGGATGTGTCAGAGCACTACACTTTTTCTCCTTGCCTATTTAGGATTGGCCTCTAGTCTTTCCATCAAATATTTGGTCATCACTCTGTATGTTGACTTCGCTATGCCTGTTGCAGGCGTCTGACTGTCACCTCCTTACAGTTTCTCTCCATCATGTAGTCGACACCGTGTTTCAAATTGGGCCACCACCGTTGGGTTTAAATTTTCCAGCTCTAAATCCACAATCACTTTCACTAGACGCTCTGTCATCTCGATCATCTTTGTACCTTTATGGTCCCGTATCCCTGAGTGATTAGAAATTTTTCTGGGCCTCCTCTTTGACGTAGGTTACCTGGAAACCTCACTTTACCTCTCAAAGGGCAACTTGTCACACCCGGGTAAACCTTTTTAAAAACCCTGCCATCTTTCGTGGGGACTATCGTCGAACCCTCCTTCCCCACTTTCCCACCCTTATTTTATCGAAACTTGATTTGGTGACCAGATTTTTCACGGCTCCCTGCACTCTCTCACCCTTTAAACCCCCTTTCTCACCAAGGATTACGTTTATGCCTTGGTGCTTTCCGCTCTTTCCCGTCGAGAGCCTTATGCAGAAGCGAACGCATCCTTACCCGATCCCCGTGATCCCCATTCCCGCGTACATGTACGCCTCATATCTCCGCAATCCTTCCATTTATAGAAGGTCCTGATATTAGTAGACATTCTTTTTGTTCCCCGCCCCTTTTTTACTCCGTCCCTTCCTTCTTCGCTTCATTCGCTCTTGTCTTCTCTTCAACTACCCCTTTCTTGTACATGTAGCATTCACTTTTCCCTCCCCCCCTGGGAAGTTCCACTGTTCGAGTTGTTCTTTTCCCTCCCTTGCTCGAAACCCCAACTGTCTAGGGTCGCTTCCCCCCCCTTTTTTTTTTGACCACTTACACTCTCTTTCTCTCCCTTTGCGTGTACACAGAGGGCTCTAAGTCTTCTGACGGCTAGGATTCGCAGCATGTTTCCCGGACAGCTCGTCAAGGGCATTTACTATCTTGGGCTAGTTTTTTTAAACTGCTGAATTATAATTGAAATCTTAAGCATTTATCCGTATTGCTCTATGCCTGTGTTTCATTTGGGGTTGTCTCAGACTCCCTTAGTGCTTTACAGGCATACAAAAATTTGTACACCTCACCCCTTAGTCCTCCTACCCAATTTTGGCTGGGCCCATTTTTACCAAACAAAAAGTATTTTTTTTTTTTGGGCCCGGGTCATGTTGACGTACGGGGCAATGACAGGCAGACATGTGCACGGTCAGCAGTACAACCTAAACCCGTTTTCTTAGAGGTATTCCTTTACGGGCTATTTTGCTGCAAAATCTTCCCCCCTTCAACCCCCTTGGCAAAACGTTGGTTACTATGCTCGGCAACAAACTTTTTCTATTAAAACCGAGTAAGTTTTTTGGCCGTCTTCTTATCACCGTGTCGAGGTTGGGAGACTACTCTCTCCCGTCTTCGCATTTGGGATACTGTCTTACCATGGATATCCATGGAGAGCGTTTTGCTCCTCTCTGTGAGAATTGCCAAAACTCCCTTATCATCAGCCACATTCTGTTGGACTGCCCACTTTACAACGAGCACGCAGAAATTTTCCTCGTCGTCGTCTTCGCTCCGCTGCTCCTCTTTAACCCTTCCTTCTCGCTGAGGACCCCCCTTTTCCGGGCTTTCATTTACTTTTTTACAACACTGACTTACTTCACAAATTCGATACCTTCGCCTTTCTACTTCAATCTCTTGCTACCCTTACCCCCGACTATCCCTGCCCGCTGTTTTCTGTAACCTGTGATCATCCCCCCCCCCTTCTCCATCCAATTCCCTTGCTTTTCCCTTTCCCCCCTCAGGTGTATAGCCCTTGTGGGTTTAGCGCTTCTTTTTGTTATAATAAAATCCAGTCAAAATAGGGGCAGAATAAAAAAGCAGGCATTCCTGGGACTAACTAACATTTCATCTGTTATTAGTTATGTTTTCAGGCTTTACAAATGTTTCATTTTTATTTTTTTTTCACATGATGAAATTTTTATTCAAACCAAAAAAAAAGATTTACGAAGCAATACTGTAATAAATTTTAAAAAATAATAACAACACATTTGTGAATGTTTGTTAGACCCACCCCTGTCATGATTAACTTGTCATTTTTTTTTCTTGAAATCTGCAAAAATTAACATTTTTTTACTTTGAGCCAGTTTTTTAAGCCATTTCCATAAAAAAAAAACCAAACAAAACATCTTATTTTTGTAGTATATCTTCCATTCTATCAAATGGAGACCAGGAAATTGCAAATACAACTATAAGAACATGCAAAACACTGCAAAGTCGCTGTTTTAATCGAAAATTATGGTCTCGGTATTTTCTCTCATTATGCACTGTGCTGCAGGATTTGTTTTATGTGGTGCACACATACCACATAGATGTATTCTCTTGTATCTAGGCCCAAATTTACTGCTCACAGCTTGTCAGAGTGAGCTGAGCTCATGGCGTAGATCTATGGTTTGGACCCTGAACATAAAGCCATAGATCTACGGCACGGACCCTGAAAGGGTTAAAATTTAGGAGCACGTTGCTCAAAATTCATTGACAAAGATTTTAAAATGTTAATTTAAGACTGTTATTTCAGCTGAAACAGGCTGAGGAAGCCAATGATGTAGCAGCCATGAATGCCTTGCTTCCTGCCATAAAATTCAATGGTGGTGGGCATCTCAACCACACAATCTTCTGGACTAACATGGCCCCAAATGCTGGTGGTGAGCCTTCTGGCCCTATTGCTGATGCTATCAATAAGGAGTTTGGATCATTCCAGGATTTCAAGGTTTGTATAAAAACCACTTCAGATGGTTGAATGTTTATATACAAGATGATTTTTCACATATTTGGCTCTTGCAGTTTAGCAGGATCCCAATAAGGTAGGGCAACCCAAAAACTATAAATTTAGTTCAGTTACTCGTTCAGTTGCTGTTGCTTGCCAGAAGTACAGACATTGATGATAGTCCCTCAAACCAACATTCTCGCCTCTTAACAGCACCACTTCCCACCTCCAGGGCTCAAGTTTGGCTGACTGGTTTTCATGAATCCCTTCATAAATTTTACCATGCTTGCACTCTTGACAGCAGGTCAAACTATAAACCATTCCACTGCATGCTTTCTCCCCCTGATTGGTTTTTAACCAGTTTTTTCTGAAATGTATTGTCACTAAGATCACCTGACTTGCCTGGCTTTAGCAAGTCAAAATCACACAAAGCCGAGTCTAATTTGCTGAACATTACCACAAGGGTGAACAGTTACTTCATACTTTCAGAATATGAACTACAATACTTACCATAACTTTTATGTACTTTGTACTTAACACTGCCAGAGTTTCATAATTGTTCTAGCTTTATTGCTGTCTTAATGTCTTCATTTAATTGTCTTGCTTAGCTTTTGGAAAGTACAAATGCAGTGTGTGATCCTTTTAAAGTTTTTTTTCTCCAAAGTTAGCCATCTCCCACCTAGGCAGGGTGACCCAAAAGAAAAAATCCTCAAAATGAAAATTATTTTATTTTTTTATTATCACACTGGCCGATTCCCACCAAGGCAGGGTGGCCCGAAAAAGAAAAACTTTCACCATCATTCACTCCATCACTGTCTTGCCAGAAGGGTGCTTTACACTACAGTTTTTAAACTGCAACATTAACACCCCTCCTTCAGACACTTACTAAAAAAGAGAAGAAGAAACTTTATAAAATGAAAATACTTTCATCATTGAACACTTGTACGTAATCACTGTACATTGTAAAATAAATGCCTTAGAATATATATTGTCTAGCTGGTCTACTTTAGACTGTCCAGGTGGGTAGAATTACAGGAGTGGGGGACAGAAAACTGTCCTGTAATTACACCCACCAAGACAGCTTGGAACAGTAGGCCACTATTAACCCTTTCAGGGTTGCCAGGCCCTCTCCGAGACTTGTTCTCAGGGTCGCCAAATTTTCAAAAAAAAAAAAAAAAAAATTCTTATGAAAAGACAATTTTTTCCCGATCATAATGACACCAAAAGTATGAAATTTGATGGAAAACTTACGGAATTATGCTCTCACGAAGTTAGCGGTCTCGACGATTTTTACTCTTTTGCGATTTTGCCCACTTTGAGGCCTATTTTCGGCCAATTCCAGTGTACTAGTCGACAAAAATCATAACTTTCGCTAGAACTCCATTTTTTTCTATAGAATGAGTACAAGAAACCACCCATTTACTAATTTCGACTATTCAATAAAGTGGTCAGAATTTAGCAATTTTGCCAATTTCACACAAATTTCAAAAGGTGCCAATTTCCGAATAGGGTCCAGAATAAACAAAGACATTCCTGGCACTAAAATAAAATTTTCTGTTCATTAGTCATGTCCCATGCCTCTCTTACCTTCTTTTGCTTTTCTCTTTGAATTTTTATTCTCACAAAAAATAGAAGATTTACTGTTATGCAGACTACTGCATTAATGTAGAAATGGTATAAATAATATCAGGGAACTTGTGAAAGAATATTACTCACCAGTTGACGTGTATTGGGCATGATTTGTTTACTTTTGAACTTTGGTAAAAAATTGAACATTTCTGCTACTTTGAGCTCAATTTCAAGGTGCTTTACTTTGTAAAACCTGTCAAAATCATCTCAATTTCTGTAATATGTCTTCCATTCTATAAAATGAGACCAGGAAAACTAGAAAACAATAAATACCATACGAAAATACAGTGCACAGTCTTGTGGTTTTATCCAAAAACAGTCTACTTTTTTTTTTTTTATCATTATGCACTGTGCTGCAGGATTTTTTTTTATACTGCGCACACTGACCACATAGACCCATTCTTTCATATGTAGGCCTACCAGCTTTCTCTCTAGATTTGTGGGCGCTAAAATTTAGGCGTACTAGTACGTCAAAATCCCTGGTGCGTAAGCTGTACCAGTACGTCCGAAACCCTGAAAGGGTTAATAATAAAATTTTTACTACCTTTTTGTAATAATGCATACTTAATTGTGCTATTAAATACTTATGTATAGTCTTTAGTAGTCTGTAAGCATTAACCCTTCGAGGGTCGACAGGCCCTCTCCGAAACTCGTTCTCAGGGTCGGCCAAATTTAAAAAAAAAAAAAAATCTCTTATGAAAAGATAGAGAATCTTTTCCCGATCATAAGGACACCAAAAGTTTGCAATTTGATGGAAAACTTACGGAATTATGCTCTCGCAAAGTTAGCGGTCTCGGCGATGTTTACGCATCGGCGATTTTGCCCACTTTGAGCCCCATTTTCGGCCAATTCCACTGTACTAGTCGACAAAAAACATGAATATTTCGCTAGAACTCCATTTTTTTCTATCGAATGGGTGCAAGAAACCACCCATTTATGAAATTCAACTATCCAGTCAGTGGTCAGAATTTAGCAATTTTGCCAATTTCAAAAGATGCCAATTTCCGAATAGGGTCCAGAATAAACAAGAAAGACATTCCTGGCACTAAAATGACATTTCCTCTGGTCATTAGTCACGTCTCAAGGCCCCTCTTATATTCTTTTGCTTTCCATTTTGAATTTTTATTCTCACAAAAAATATAAGATTTACTGTTATGCAGACTACTGCATTAGTGTAAAAAATGATATAAATATTATTGGTGCACTTGTGAAAGAATATTAGACTCGCCAGTTGACGTGTATTGCACGATTTGTTAACTTTTGAAATTTGATAAAAATCAAACATTTCTGCTACTTTGAGCTCAATTTCAAGGTACCTTTCATTGTAAAACCAGTCAAAATCATCTCAATTTCTGTAATATGTCTTCCATTCTATAAAATGAGACCAAGAAAACTAGAATACAACAATAAATACCATACGAAAATACAGTGCAAAGTCGCTGTCTTATTCCAAAAAAATGGTCGTTTTTTTTTTTTCTCATTATGCACTGTGTGCTGCAGGATTTTTTTTAGACTGTGCACACTGACCACATAGACCCATTCTTTCATATGAAGGCCTACCAGCTTTCTCCCACTAGATTTGAGGGCGCTAGAATTTAGGCGTACTAGTACGTCAAAAACCCTGGGTCGTAAGCCGTACTAGTACGTCCGAAACCCTCAAAGGGTTAAGAATAGCCTGCCTGAAATGCACAGTATTAAGGGCTTTCTTTTGTGCCTAACAATATTTTATTACATACAAACTACATTTTTATGCTGCACAAAGAAATAAAATGTTTGACTACATTTTGCTTATACTTTTTGGGCAAAAGTCAATAAAGGACCACATTATGTTGCATTTGCCTTATTTTCCATAGTGTCTATTTTATATCGTTTATCACCATTGCTTAGCTTTTGACAAATTTGTTGGTAAAAAATGAATATGCTTTGAACAGTTACTTTTATAAAGCATATTTTGAGTTAAAACTAATACTAAATGTTGAAGCATCGTTATAAAGGTTTATTGATTTCAGGTATTATAATGCAAATATTCCTTTTTACAGGCCAAGTTCTCTGCAGCCAGTGTTGGAGTGAAGGGCTCTGGCTGGGGCTGGCTGGGTTACTGCCCCAAGAATGACACAGTAGCTGTGGCCACCTGCCAGAATCAGGATCCTCTCCAGATCACTCACGGTGTGTAGTTTGAAATTTGTATGACCCTTGCAGGCATAGTGCTCTCCCATGAATGTAATTCAAATTTCTAAAACTTTTTCAAAGTGTACTATTTTTAGATGCTGTAAACCCTCTTTCACGATCTAGGGGGCAGTGGGTAGCCAGTAATGGCAATTTTGATAGATTTTGCCATGATAGCAATTGAGTTTTGTTTTCAAATTGACTGATCAGTAGATTTAGTCCAGTATTTCCAGTCTGTTAAATTGAGGGTTTACTTTTATGTAAAACTGCTTGCAATGTGCCGTTACTTGTTATTAACTAATACGTAAATGTAATTTTTTTTTACCTAGTATTAATGTAATATGCATGTGCAAAGGAGTACTGAATATGTAATAGTTGGTAATTAGGCATGCATTTTGCATGACTTCCATACTTGTATTATTAAGTTAACATCACCTTGCTTCTGAAATTATTCAACAGGTTTTGACTCTTAAATATTGGTGTTTAAGTAAATATTGAAACTAAAAATTGCATAAATAGCCTTTTTTTATTAGTTGCATTGCAATTTAATGTTTTGTTGAAATTTCAGGTCTGATTCCCTTGCTTGGGCTTGATGTTTGGGAACATGCCTACTACCTTCAGTACAAGAACCTCCGTGCTGACTATGTTAAGGCATTCTTTAATGTAATTAATTGGGCTAATGTCAATGAACGCTACGACAATGCCCGCAAATCTGCTGGACACTGACTAGTTGACTTGTTTGAACAACCTCAAGGCGCCAGAGTAGCTTCTCGCATGTGATGTCTTTCAGGGGCCAACCCAAGAATGAGCATTTATTTTTAAGGTTGAGATGTTTAAGGGCTAGTGATTATCACAAATATATTGTAATGGAAGAAATTCAGTTCATTAAATATTAAGAGAATTTATTTTAATGTATCCTTATTTTATAAATACTTGGTTAAAAGACCAGATACAAATCAGTTTTAAATTGGATGTGCAGACCATTTTGTGAATACCTTGGGCAAGACCATACCCACTTGATAAAACTGCTTCATTATTCAGTGCTAAACCTCTAGGGGTTATATAGATCCTGGGGGAAGGAGGGAATGAAAAATAAGCCATGAAAGTGGAAGACAAATCTATTACTTTGTTCGTTTTTGCTGGTGAGGCACTTGTCTTGGTGGACCCATAGATACTAAAAGTTGCATTAGCTACTTTGTGTAGTCTTTGAGGGAGAGGCATTAAGGCATCATGCTTGGCTTAAAGGTGAAGCCTTGGATGTTTTTAACTTTTTTTTTTTGGGGGGGAAAGAGGTAAAATTTGTAATGTCCCATGGAGTGAGGAAGCACTACTCTTACCTTAGTGACATAGATCATGTATCTGGTTTATGCAAAGGTCAGTTTTACCTCTCTTCAAGGGAAGTTCCTTGTTGCTGGTGAGGGTCACTGATCCAGGGAGTTTGATCTGTGCTCTGGTTCCCTGAATTGTCTGAATACCTTCCACCCCCTCTCCTCAGGCACTGTATAATCCTATGGGTTTAGTGCTCCATGATTGACCCTTGTGGGTTTAGCACTTGATTTTGATTACAATACGGTCCATCATAGGTAGTCGGTTGGTAGATAGCAACCACCCAGATGTATTATCCTGCCAAGGGAGTGAGGCAGAAACCTGTAACTGTTTAACATGATGGCAGGATTGCTAGTTTCTATTTTTCTCAAACATGCAGGATAAATGGTATATCTTTCTACTTAGGTTACATAATGTATGCACAGGCAAAAAAATATAGAGTATATATATATCTAAAATGCCGGGAACAATGGGCTAGTAACCCCTTTTCCTGTAAAGATTACTAAAAAGAATAAGAAAATTGTCAAAGTGGGAAGTCTGAAAGTGCATGGATGTTGTGCAAATGATAAGAAAGAGATGATTGTGGATGTTATGAATGAGAAGAAACTGGATGTCCTGGCTTTAAGTGAAACAAAGCTGAAGGGGGTGGGAGAGTTTCAATGGAGATGTTACGACTTAATCTTCACTGTAACAATAGGGGCACAAATAACTCCAATTTTTTGTTAGTTTTATTTTATTACTAATTGTTTAGCTTCATTGGTATTTGGTTAGTGAATTAAAATAACCACAAGCAATTATAAATGAAATACTATACAGCAAGGAACCCAATCTTACGTTCAAATTCTCATTAACAGAGTATGATACAATAATTTCAATTAATAATCTACTAATCTCACCATTTAACTCTTTTAGAAAGGTCTAGGGTAACGAAATAGTTATCTTTCATAAGTGACATGAATTACCAGACTTCAGGTAACGAATGGCAAAGGCAAGACAATAGACTTGGTATAAAGTTTTAGTTTAAGCTAGGAGCTTTGGGTTGAAGACCCGTACCGAGCCAGAGCTAGGAGCTGACTGACTCGCTCAACTACTCCATAGTATAACTTCAGCTCTGCCAGAAGGCGACGCGTGGCGTCAATTCTAGAACCACCAATTGGTCACTACAGTAGTGGTTACACATTCGTAATACCTAACCTAATAATAATATAATGTACTAATACAATATAATACAATGAGAGTACTTTTGATGATTCATACCATACCCGATAATAATATATAGTCGAACCTGCTTTATCTAGCTAGTAATAAAGTGGTTCGCGATATATTATTACAGAACTTATTTTAACCAGGCCTTTTATTTTTGTATATAATGGAGTGAAGAAGGGGCACGTAACAGGAGAGGAATAAATGGGATTAGGTCTGGGGTTTCAAATAGAGCTAAAGAAGGAGTAGCAATAATGTTGAAGGATAAGCTATGGCAGAAAGAGGGACTACAAATGTATAAATTCAAGGATTATGTGGAGTAAAATAAAGATTGGATGTGAAAAGTGGGTTATAGTAAGCGTGTATGCACCTGGAGAAGAGAGAAGTGTAGAGGAGAGAGAGAGATTCTGGGAAATGTTGAGTGAATGCGTGGGGAGTTTTGAATAAAGTGAGAGTAATGGTGGTTGGGGATTTCAATGCTAAAGTGGGTAAAAATGTTATGGAGGGAGTAGTAGGTAAATTTGGGGTGCCAGGGGTAAAGGTAAATGGGGAGCCTTTAATTGAGGTATGTGTAGAAAGAAATTTGGTAATAAGTAATACATATTTTATGAAAGAGGATAAATAAATATACAAGGTATGATGTAGCACGTAATGACAGTAGTTTTAGATTATGTATTGGTGGATAAAAGGATGATGGGTAGGCTCCAGGATGTACATGTTTATAGAGGGGGCAACTGATATATCGGATCATTATTTAGTTGTAGCTACAGTTAGAGTAAGAGGTAGATGGGAAAAGAGGAAGGTGGAAACAAGAGGGAGGTGAAAGTGTATAAACTAAGGGAGGAGGAAGTTCGGGCGAGATATAAGCGACTATTGGCAGAAATGTGGGCTAGTGCAAAGATGAGTAGTGGGGGGGTTGAAGAGGGTTGGAATAGTTTTAAAAATGCAGTATTAGAATGTGGGGCAGAAGTTTGTGGTTATAGGAGGGTGGGGGCAGGAGGAAAGAGGAGTGATTGGTGGAATGATGAAGTAAAGGGTGTAATAAGAGAAAAAGGTAGCTTGAGAGGTTTTTTACAAAGCAGAAGTGTTATAAGAAGAGCAGAGTATATGGAGAGTAAAAGAAAGGGGAAGAGAGTGCAAAAGGAGAGCAGATGAAAGTGGGAGAAGCACTGCCAAGAAATTTTAATGAAAATAAGAAAAAAATTTGGAGCGAGTTGAACAAGTTAAGAAAGCCTAGGGAAAGTATGAATTTGTCAGTTAAAAACAGAGTAGGGGAGTTAGATGGGGAGAGGGAGGTATTAGGTAGATGGCGAGAATATTTTGAGGAACTTTTAAATGTTGAGGAAGAAAGGGAGGCAGTAATTTCATGCACTGGCCAGGGAGGTATACCATCTTTTAGGAGTGAAGAAGAGCAGAATGTAAGTGTGGTGGAGGTACGTGAGGCATTACGTAGAATGAAAGGGGGTAAAGCAGCTGGAACTGATGGGATCATGACAGAAATGTTAAAAGCAGGGGGGGATATAGTGTTGGAGTGGTTGGTACTTTTGTTTAATAAATGTATGAAAGAGGGGAAGGTACCTAGGGATTGGCAGAGAGCATGTATAGTCCCTTTATATAAAGGGAAAGGGGACAAAGATTGTAAAAATTATAGAGGAATAAGTTTACTGAGTATACCAGGAGCTGTATAGTCCTTGTGACTTAGCGCTTCTTTTTGATTATAATAATAATGAGTATACCAGGAAAAGTATACGGTAGGGTTATAATTGAAAGAATTAGATGTAAGACAGAATGTAGGATTGCGGATGAGCAGGGAGGCTTCAGAGTGGGTAGGGGATGTGTAGATAAAGTGTTTACATTGAAGCATATGTGTGAACAGTATTTAGATAAAGGCAGGGAAGTTTTTATTGCATTTATGGATTTAGAAAAGGCATATGATAGTGGATAGAGGAGCAATGTGGCAGATGTTGCAAGTATATGGAATAGGTGGTAAGTTACTAAATGCTGTAAAGAGCTTTTATGAGGATAGTGAGGCTTAGGTTAGGGTATGTAGAAGAGAGGGAGACTACTTCCCTGTAAAAGTAGGTCTTAGACAGGGATGTGTAATGTCACCATGGTTGTTTAATATATTTATAGATGGGGTTGTAAAAGAAGTAAATGCTAGGGTGTTCGGGAGAGGGATGGGATTAAATTATGGGGAATCAAATTCAAAATGGGAACTGAGTTACTATTTGCTGATGATACTGTGCTTATGGGCGATTCTAAAGAAAAATTGCAAAGGTTAGTGGATGAGTTTGGGAGTGTGCGTAAAGGTAGAAAGTTGAAAGTGAACATAGAAAAGAGTAAGGTGATGAGGGTATCAAATGATTTAGATAAAGAAAAATTGGATATCAAATTGGGGAGGAGTATGGAAGAAGTGAATGTTTTCAGATACTTGGGAGTTGACGTGTCGGCGGATGGGTTTACGAAGGATGAGGTTAATCATAGAATTGATGAGGGAAAAAAGGTGAGTGTG